GGGGCTGCAGCGATGGCCGGAGCGGGGCTGGGGCTCCCCGGGACGAGGCGGGGCTGTGAGTGCTGCGGGCCGGGGCTGCGCTGCCGCGGGGAACAGCCGGCTGCTGCCGGGGATGCGCGGGGCTGGCGGGAGGGGAGACCCTGGGCCGTCGATGAATTTTCCTTTTCAGGAAAATAATATTCTGCACCCCCGTGCTTTCCTCTTTTTGGTTTGGGTATTTTTGGTTTTGTTTTTATTTTAATTTTAAAAACAGGCACCGTTTTTGGGAAGTACATATATCGCGGGTTCCACGCAGCTCCTGTGGCGGGGTAAAGTCCTGGAACTGGGGGAGAAATGGTTTTTCTCCGCCTGTTAACCCCGCTTAAATGGACGTGAGGAATGCCTACCGATGTTATCTTTCGGGGATTTCGTTTTCAGTCTCGCCTTAAAAACTTTTACACTGAGCGAATTTTCTATTATGTCTACAATTTTCTATTATTTCCCCTTTCCCCAAATTTTGCCAACCACACTGCAAACAAATCCGAGTCACGAATTGAACATAAAATTATACGTAGTGCTTGAATCGAGAAGCTAGATGTTGTTTGCTTTTTTAAATAACAATTTAAATATATATATTTTCCACTTAACAAACCAAAATCCATGTTCTCCAGGTTACTCCCTGCGCCAGCTCCAGCCGCCTATATAAAAACTGACTTCCAAATATTTCCTGAGGTCTACTTCACTGGCAGAACTTCCCCAAAAATCCTTCATTTGCCTGAAATATGAGCAAAGTCCTTGGAAATCCCGCGCTGGAGCCGTGGCCACATTTCCCTGGGAAAGTTTTAGACGAGTTAGAGGCGCCTGAGACCGAGGCAGATTCTTCCTCCCGAAACCCACTGCCGAACAATAACCTGGTGGCTCTGCCGCCTCTCTTTTACAGCACGTTTTATTGTTCATGCATGTGTTATTATGAAAATGTGTATTTCCAAATATATATATATATATTTATTTATATTTATATAAATAACCCCTTCTTATCGGGCTTATAGAAGGGAGCCCATTTCTCTGAGAAAATGACCGCTGATGAAACAATTCATTATTTCCCTCCCGTGATGAACCACTCGGGTATATATTGCTTTTAAATAACAAAAGGGGAGGAGAAAACATTCTCTAGTAAAGCCGAATTCCTTCATTAGACCGCCTCCTAAACGTGCTAATAAAACTAATTCGTTTTATTTGCCCTGAACTTTTATATCTAAGCCGGCGCGCTGATTAGCACAGCCCTCTGGAAGGCGGTGTGTTCCTATCTCTCTCCGAGATGTGCCCGTTAAGATACGGAACTGGCAGGAAAAGTGTCCCGTGCCTTTTTGTGGGCTCTGTTTGCTCCTGGGGCAGTGGAGACGAGCAGAGCTGCGCCGGGAGCAGAGCGGGGCTGCCGAGCAGTGGGGAGAGATCACCCCTTTGGGGGGAAATAAGAAAAAAAAGACAGAAGGAAAAACTGAAAAGAGAGAAAAAAAATATAAATATATATATATATATATATATATATATATATATATATATATGGGGAGGGACGAGGAGGAGAAGGAAAGAAAAATTTAGAAGAAAAATATATAAAAGGAGGAGAAATAAAATAATATAGAAGAATAACTGAATATGCTCAAAGGTTAATTATTTCTCTGAATTTGCATTTTAAGGCAGGAAATGTGTAGGTATTGCAGAGATTCGCTGCTGTTCTAAGCACATTAAAGAGTCCAACGCGTTATTAATATATTTCAGCCCTTCAGGAAATGTCCTCTTGAAGGGAAATGTGTTTCTTCCATCCAACTGCTGGAGCAATTAAGAGGTTGCTCGCCCAAAACAAGGTGGGGGAAACCCACAAGGAAACCTAATGTCGTTCATTCTAAATGTAGCGTCTTTTCTTCTCCTGAAGAGGAGTCTTCAACAAATGCCAACGGAGTGCTCGGGCCTCTGATTATCCTGTTTGAGGCATCTTTTTGAGCCCACAAAAAAGCCACATTTCGGGATCTAAAGATGCACAGAGTAATATGAGCAGGCTGCCTAACAAACTCCGGTGCCCCTTCCTCTGTCAATTAATCAGAAAAGCATGTTCGCTCTGCCCAGAGAGGGAATTGTGTGGCTATATTGTGATTTTCCCCTCTTTTTCCCCCACCTAGGAAAAAAAAGAAAATGTATTCCTGAGCTGTCCATCCTCCGACGCTGTCATTGCAGTGCAATGACACTCTCGCACTCACATCAGGTTTATCAGAGATAAATCCAAACCGCTGCTATCAGCAAATTCATATTTTCTTGGAGCAGAGTTCAGTGTCTGTGGTCTGACATATGCGAGGAGGGCTGGAAGGCAGGGTGAGACTGTGCCGCCAGGGGTTTGGGGGTAAAAGAAGTTGTCCCAGGTCGGACAACTCCAAAATGGTTTTGTTTTCGGGGTTCTGGTAGAATGACGGCCGAAGTGAACCAGCACCATCCCACTCTACCCCCGGCAGCTTCCAGCTGCAGAAAACCGAACAAGAAAACCGTTTCTCCAGCCGTCAGTCGCTGCATTTCAGGAAAGCCTTGGGGTATCATTTGTATCTGTCAGAAAACATTAAGCCTTCAACTTTTTCCTCCCGAGTTTTTTCAAGCGCTGCCGCTGGCCGCCGCGCACGGGGGAGCCCCGGAGCGGGATGCGGATGCGGGGCGGGGAGGCGGCCCCGGGAATCCCAGGTGCCCCGGGAAATGTCCCG